TCGTTGGGTGGTGCAAAGAAAAACAAGGCAAAAGAGCACGACCATGATTAATCTTTTCAACCACTTGGCTCAAATAAAAGTGTTCAGCTACATTCTAGAAAAAAATTGGTGAGTGATGTGACAAGATGTTTTAAAAATCAATGGATTTCATGTCAAAAGATATCAAATTTAATGTAAAAAATTAATGTACGTTTAGCATGATTGTTTCCCTTGAGGCTTATCTCTATGTTAAGGCTTTGTCTGGTCCTGCTTTTCATTAGATTTTCAGTGGAAATATAGCCGTTTTTTTCAAACAATGGCCCCCACACCTCTCATCGTTGGTCAACTTCTGCGGCTGGAGTTCTTTGCAACAGTTGAAAAATCACTCAAAATCTGGCAAAGAATTCGGCCCAGACACAACCTAAATTTTCTCGTAAAGCATAATTCAAAACCTTGAGATGTTAAAAAATGAAACATTTAACTTAAGTATGTTTGTCTGGGCTCGAGATGACTTATCTCGTTTAAAAAACTCCTACAAAAAATAGCCCAATTCAATTTGCTCGGGATCATAGGTTTTCTCGTCTTGTTTTTAAGTTTTCCTATCCACAAATTAGGTTATCTAATCACAAATCGGTTATCTATTGAAAAATATTACTTCTCTCTTAAATTAAGGAAACAAATTAATTAAAAATCAATCAACCCAACGGCTGTTAATTTCTACATCTTCATATGATTTTTTGTCTTTTAAAGAACCAATCTATAACTAATTATTTATCTTCTAAATTTTACGCAATTCTCTCAATCTCTCGCCCAATATTCAATTTCTTGTAACAAAATGTCAACCAAACTTAGAAAAATGTTTTACAAGCATTTCACTTTTCAAAGTAGTTTTATTTAGAACTCAATGTCGTATCGTATTTTACAATGACGAATCCGAAAAAATAAAAATAAATAAATAATCTCGTACTGAACATTACTCTTTTATTTGAAAAAAAAAAAAAAAATACAATTACTGCATTTGTGTTATATATTACATTCTATCTCGACGATATAACAATGATTGAGTCCCAAAAAATTGTGCGCGTAACCGAAAAGAGCCACTAAAATAAATTCTCTCATTAATATGACAACAAATTTGGGACCTCAAAAGAAAAATCATTGAAAATGACACAAGTGGAATTGTAATCAGTCCCAAAAACCTATCTTAATGACTAATTTAACATTTTACCCCAAAATCTGAAATCAAGCATTACATCAATGATAGAGAAACAGCAACTGACCCCCCAAAAAAATTGATTTTTAAAAATTACTTTAATTTAAAGGTAAGCCTTGAACAATATAAAAATAGTCAAGTAGGTCCCCTCTCAGAAATATCTCTTACTCTAAATAGTATTTTATTGCATGTTACCTCTATAAAGAAAAAGGCAAATTGCATCATTTGTCCCCAACTTTTGAGCAAAGTCGGTTGTTTAGCACAATCATTGACCCAATCTGTTTGCTTGATTTGGAAACTTCTGGAAAGTTATCATTGTGTTTAGTGAAAATGCCGAAACTTTTGGTTGCTGTTTACTTAAATAAAAAAAGTCAACCACGTTATAAAAGTCATGAATGAAAAAAGGAAGACTGTATGCATGTTGATATATATAAACCATTTTAAAGTACTAAATTAATTATATTATACTAGAAAAATTGCTTCAAATTGGCATTATTCAAGCACATTAGTCACTTAATTATGACAAAAGTACAAACTTTGTAGATAATCAAGGGTAATAATACACTAATTTTTTTTAATTACATCAAATTTTAATTATGCTTTAAGATAATTAACTTTTAATTAGTATTGTGCTTTTTTTGCCGTATCTTTATCTTCAATATCGCAAGAATTAATCTATTTCGTCCTCGACGAGGACTTTTATCGAAATATACATTTTACGAGATTTAAAATGGGGAGTGAATATTCTATAGTACTTTTGCATCTATGCTGAAATTTCAAAAGATTTGGTTTTATGAATTTTTAAACTTGAAATCCATCCAAATCTTTTAATCACTTTATTAGTGAAATCTTTGTAAACTCATTAATTATTGAGAATATCTAGATTTTAAAGGATTTCATTTAAAATTTCAATTGAGAACACTTCAATTTTAATGTATTCCATTAAAGTCTATCAATAAAGATGACATTTTCTTTCTGACAGAGAAATTTAATTGGGAAAAATATCTATGCAGAAACTCATGTGCAACTTTTTGTTGTTGGGCAAACAATTATTAGTAAAGAGAAAAAAAAGTTGTCCCAACTAAAATTCGTATCATAATTGAGTTAAATCTATTAATAACCACCCAACTTCATAGTTGGTGTTATGATAATCACTCAATTTGATTTTATTTTATCATGACCATACAATTTTATACTCTGTCTTACCATGATCACCTAATTTGATTTTATTTCATCATAGTCATCTAATTTCCTAAAACGTTTCACCATGGTCACCTAACCTTTTTTCACCATTTTCCTTAATTTTAAAATGAGTAAACGGTAACTTCGTGTTATATATATAAAATTGAGTGACCATAATGAAATGTTTATATAAAATTAAGTGGTCACAATGAAACGTTATATGAAATTGTGTGATCATGATGAAATAAAATCAAATTGAGTGGATATGGTGATATTAAATATAAAGTTGTATGATCATGATGAAATACAATCAAATTGGGTGATCATGATGAAGTTAACTATAAAGTTGGGTGGCCATACGTGGATTTAATCTATCATAATGACATTTCTGCTCTTACGGTTGATGATGTTCTTTTATTAAATACCCCTCCCTTCTTTCATATTTTCCTATCTCAACTTCCCCAGACCTTTCGCCGGCGCTTCCAGTAGCACAGTCGAGAAAGTGACGGATTAAGGCAGAGAGAGAAAGAGGGAGAATGGAGAAAGAAACTATGGAAATTAAAGAAAAAACAAGTGCTGCGAATGAAGAAGAAACTGAGATCAATTACAGAGGAATTAAGGCCATGCCTTTCATTATAGGTGAACATAAAGTTTTTTTTTTTTTTTTTACATTTTAATTTCAATCTTTGATCATTCTTTTAATTTTATTCTTTTTGTTAACAGGGAATGAGACCTTTGAAAAGCTTGGAGCCATTGGCACCCTACACAACCTGCAAGTTTATTTAACTACTGTTTTCAACATGAAAAGAATTACTGCAACAACTCTCCTTAATGTCTTCAATGGTACCACAAATTTTGCTACCTTACTTGGAGCTTATTTGTGTGATACTTATTTTGGTCGTTACAACACGCTCGGATTTGGCTCGATTGCCTCCTTTCTGGTGAATCTAAGTTCTTGACTTTGTCTTCTTAATTCATTGAATTACAGTTACTCGACTTAGAAATTGATTGCGTAAAATTTTCGGTGAAGGGATTGCTGCTGATAACTTTTACAGCAGTTTTTAACAAGTTACACCCACCCCATTGTGGACCAGAAGATAGTCGATGTATAGGTCCAACACCGGGCCAGATGGCCTTTTTGTTATTTGGTTTCGTGTTCATGATAATTGGGGCAGGCTCGATTAGGCCATGTAACTTAGCATTTGGAGCTGATCAGTTCAATCCCAATACAGAATCAGGAAAGAGAGGAATTGACAGTTTCTTCAACTGGTATTTCTTCACTTTAACTTTTGCTCAGATGGTATCAGTTACACTGGTGGTCTATGTTCAATCTGATGTGAGTTGGCCTATTGGATTGGCAATTCCTACTATTTTCATGCTCGTTTCGTGTTTTCTCTTCTTCATCGGTACGAAAATTTATGTGAGAGTGAAGCCCGAGGGCAGTCCGTTGACGAGTATAGCCCAAGTACTCGTCGTTGCCTACCGGAAGAGGCGGCTGAAGTTGGCCTCGCAGCAGCCGTCGCAGCACCTCTTCAACTATACTCCATTGAAGTCTATCAATTCTAAGCTTCCTTATACACAGCAATTCAGGTACCTTACTTAAGTTGAATCTCTCTTTTTAATCAATTATAGGTAACATATTTTATTAAGGAAAATGCTTAGGGATGGCAACGGGGTGGGT